ATCTCTTAGAAATAAATGATTCAGTCTCTGGAAGTTTGCCCCCCCCCTTTTTTTAATATCTCAGATTAAGTATTCTACATAATGAACTTTGTGGGTAGTTTAGTTTTCTTATTTATTTATTTACTTTTTTTTTAGTGTGATACAGGGGATGAAACCCTTGGATTCACATATGCTAAGCATTGTATATAGCTTAAGTTTTCTTTTTTTCTGGTAGTAGTAATAATTTACTTAAATTTTTTTTCTTACTGAGAATATAAGTTGGTTATTGTTTTATTTTGTTGTGACTCCTTTCTGCAACTTAGATGTTCAAGATGAATGAATGAATTTTTTAAACATAGTTTAGAATATTTAACTCTTAAAATTATAGAATTTTGTATTTATTTGAGGAATACTAATAATTTAAATGCATATGTGCTCTTAGTATGGCAAATAATAAGTAACAAACAACACTGGACCATATATTTCTTTGTTTCATTTATAAGCATTTTTGTATTTTATAATGTCAATAAATCAAGAAGTTTCTTGATGGTTCTTAAAATTTAATGACTTGGGAGAAGAAGTAGATAATGAGTTCAATTTTTAATACATTACATTTGATGCAATTGTGAATTACCTTGGTGAAGGTATTCAGTAGACATTTGAAAATATGGATAAGAAAGTATGTGGAGTAGTCAGGGCTAAAGGTGCAGAGTTGAGAGTTATCACTGGTATTGAAGCAATAAAGAATAGTATAAAAATAAAGAGAAGGCCAGGTACTTAATATGAGTAAATAGTTCATGGTTTAGAAAAAGGAATAATTTGAAGAATAATCAAAGTTAAGAATCTCTACCATACACATTTTTTTTAACATATAGTTATTAAGCAACTTGCTTAGAAATATAGTCACTACTTGAAATTGAGTCTGAGTTATTGACAATATTCTAATGTTCTTCTTGCAAAGAATAATACTTGGTATTTAAAATTGTGTAAACTGTGTATCTTTTAAGAAAAAAATACCAGACTATAGCTGTAAGTAGACTGTCTTCTCCATCTTGGCAGACTCCACTTATCTCCTAAAACTCATTACCTTCTGTTTGATACATGGCCAGATCTGTTCCTTCTCCACTCCATTTTCCTTGCCAAGTTAATCTGTGCTCCAATAATACTAGGTAACTACTCTGTTACAGCATTTTCACTTTACATGGCATTTTTATTTCATACTTGCCTAGTTTGTTTTTGGTTCTAGGGATTGAACCCAGGGGCATTTTACTACAGAGCTTCATCCTCAGTCCTTTTTATTTTGAAACATGGTTGTTTCAAAATAAAGTTGTCCAGGCTGGTTTCCAACTTGTGATCCTCCTGCCTTAGCCTCCCAAGTTACTGAGATTTCAGGCATGCTCCACTATGTCTAGTGCTACAGCAGTCTTTAAGGGCATAAATCTTATTCTCAAAGCATTAGCTTAATGCCTGGCATGTGCTTAAATATCCAATAAGTATTTTTTCCTAACATTTTATTATGAAAAATTTCGAATTTATAGGAAAGTTGAAAGAATTGTATAATGAGCACCTTTATACATAGTAAATATTTAATGAGTGATTGAAAGACTGTGAAATTACTTTTTTGTGTGTCAGTTTTCTTTCTCTTTTTCAGATTCAGAGATGTTACCTATCATTTTATTCTTTATTTTATTTCCTAACTGCGCTAATTTTAAACCTAAGTAATTTTAGCTATAAATTGTTGCATTCTGGTCAAGATAGTGAAAATAATTGCAGTTAGTTTTGGTCTCTGATGGCAGCTATAGGACTCATTTCTCAACCCCATTTTGTTCAATAATCAACCACTCCAAATAGGTCCTATTTTTGGGTGGTGGGTTCCTTTGAGAATCTGATGAAAACTGTAGACTATATCCTTAGGAAAAATGTACATGTTTGTACATTCACAATAGACATAATTACCATATTATGTTGTAATATAGTCATGCCTGTAAGAATTTTTATATTTAGAATTTCAAGCCTTCACATGAAATGGTATGGATTAGGCTATACAATACCAATATTAATGTAAGCCACAGTGTAGTTAAATGCAAAAATAAGATGTTTTATATTTCCAAGTCTTTTTAATCCAATATGTAATTTATATTTCAATACCTCTCAATTTGGACTCGCCATATATTATTTATTCAGTTACCATGAGGCTAATGGTTACTTTTTTAGACATTGAGGATCCAGACTACTGTTATTCTATTTTATGTTTGTTTGGTATTTTTTCATAATTCATGTACTGAGTCCTGTTTGTCTTCATTAACTATGTTTTTTGATAGTCTGCTTTCTTTTTTTAAAAATTTTTAAAAAATATTTATTTTTCAGTTGTAGTTGGATACAATACCTTTATTTATTTATTATTATGTGGTGCAGAGGATCGAACTCAGCCTTGTACGCGCAAGGCGAGCGCTCTCCTGCTGAGCCACAACCCCAGCCCTGATATTCTGCTTTCCTAAAACAAAGCTTATTACAATGATGTGTAAAATAAAAGTCTTTGAAGGAAGATTTGCTGGTGTTTTAATGAACAGAGAATATGAACTTTGTGCTGTGTACTTTGGCTCCGCCTAGTCTTCCCTGATTACTCTTGAGTTTTTAGATACACTTTATATAGTTTAAAGCTGCTAAAAAGTGCTCTATTGTAAGAGGTTTAACTTTACTAGACACATTTATTTGGAGGAAATTATAGCTTTATTTCTGCTCCCAATCGATGTGGTAATTTGGTACATTATTTAGAAGTTACAAATATGAAATACTAGTTTTGAGAATTTTTGTTCCTAATATTTAAGATGTCAGAGGAATAAATCATACATATTGATAACAGATAACAAATGAATACCCAAAGTTAGATTGTAATCTTGTTTTCTTGGAATTCTTAAGGAAATCTCTCCACACACATTTTATATATTTTTTTGTTGTAAAATCTGCACATTATTTGTCATTTAACTTGAGATAAGGGGCAAGGAACACTGAGTCGTAGTATTAGTAATATTTATTTTACTGTTTTTAACTTTTAATTTCAAAGCTTTTTACTTTAATTTTTTATTGACTGCTAGTGTTAGCTTAGAGTTCTTCTTTCAGTTTGTTTGACTAGTTTTTGAACACTTACTAAAGTTTTAAAAAAAGGTTTTTAAAAATGACCAGCAAAAATCTTTTATACCTATGGCATACAACCTGTTGTTTTTATATATATTCACATTGTACACATTTAGAGTTGCTAAATCAAGCTTTTTAACATACATAATACCTCATATACTTATTGATTTTTTGTGGCAAAAGCCTTTAAAATCTACTTATCAATTTTCAAGTCTATAGTATTTTTTTTTGTTGTTGTTTACTAAAGTCACGAAGCTTTTTTGTTATTATTATAGGGAAATCCTTGGTGCATCTTCCAACTTAAGTCCCAGCCATCTGGAGTCAAAGCATGTATATTGTGTGGATGTTAATGAAGAAAAGGCTGCGAGCGGGAACCGGATGCTACACAATCAAGAACGGAATATACATTGCTGTGACTTTGAGAGCTCCCAATCATCTGTCATCAGTGATACAGTTGTAAGGTTTTTAAATGATCGACCAGCAGTTGATACATTGCATAATTCAGAATGTTTGATTAAGATGGGAACTCCTATGAGGATTGAAGAAGAAATGCCTAATAGAGCAAAAGGAAATGAGAACAGTTCAAAGCTTTCTGTGAATAACATGGGCCATGATGTTGATCCAAAAATGTTACGGCTAACTGACTCTTCTCCATCCTCTGCTAGCACTTCTAGTTCCCAAAGGTTAGATATTTTAAAGCGGCGACAACATGATATTAAACTGGAAAAACTCAAGGAACGGATTAGGAAACAATGGGAACACTCAGAAGAAATAAGTGGCCGGGGCCAGAACCTGGGTCCTATTGATCATCCAGTAATGGTTGTTAATGTTGATAGCTCAGTGACAGCAAAAGTCAGGAAAGTGGCAACAGCACCCCCTGCTCCGACATATAAAGGTTTGTAATCAGTCTTCATATCCTTGTCTCTCTTCCTGCCCTCTGTTCCCTGTTTTCCCTAGGATGTATTTGAGTAGAGATGATTATCTTAAGAATAGGGTGTGAACCTCAGATTACCTGTTGTGTTAATCAGTTTTGCTTTCCTGTAACCAAAATATCTACAAGAGCAACTTAGATGCAGAAAAGTTTATTTTGGCTCAGGGTTTCAGAGGCTTAGTCCCAAATCCATTGCTCTGAGCCTAAGGTGAGTCAACATGATGGCAGAAATGGGTGGTAGAGGAATGCTACTTAACTCATGGCAACCAGGAAGCAGAGAGAAAGAAGGAGGAGCTAGGGAGAAGATAAAATTCCCAAGGGCGCACTCCAAGTGACCCACCTCCTCCAGCCATACCCACAGTATATCTACAGTTACTACTTAGTCCTTTCAAATTATTAATCCATCAAGTAGATTAATCCAACAAGTAGATTATTCCAACAAGTGGATTATTCTAACCCTAATCCACTGATTTAGGGCACATCTCTCTTAGTGTAATCATTTTACCTCCTACATTAACACTGGAACCTTTAGGGGATACTTTATATTTGAAACCATAATAACTGTAAAAAATTATGTTAAGATACATGTTAAAAATGCGGACTCCTGGGTTGGGGTTGTGGCTCAGCGGTAGACTGCTCACTTAGCATGTGCAAGGTGCTGGGTTTGATCCTCAGCATCACATAAAAATAAATAAATAAAGGTATAAAAAATTATATATAAAAAAGTGGATTCTCAGATCCTTCACAGGATTCTTATTGATTGAGACTTATATGAATGTTTAATAAATTGTGAAAAAAACCTAAATAGGACTAGTACCACTCTCCAAAAATTGAAAGAATGTTGCTCTTATTGCTTTTATTCTGCCATTATTTCTGTATTAGGAATTGTTTCAAAAGTAATATTTAAAGAAAATTAGCCAATTTCCAGTGTATATTTGGGTACAAGTTGATCCTTTTGCTAAATTTATTGAGGTATTTTTTATATAAGGTCTACAGTAAGAACCTGTGCTATACATGCACACAGTGAAATTAATGTATCCATCACCTTACAGTTCCTTTTATGTGTGTGTGTGTGTGTGTGTTGTAAGAGCACCTAAAATCTACTCTTTTAGCAGATTTTCATTATAGAATACAGTATGATTAACTGTAGTTTTCATGCTGCTACTTTAGATCTTTAGACTTATTCATGTCATATAACTTATTCATTTTGTATTCTTTGTATCCATATCCCTGTAATATAAGTATGTTCATATAACTGATGAGCTTTTGCTTTTAAGGGTATTTAAACCTACCCCACTGCACAAACCTCTACTTAATTCCTGGCTTTTAAAACTTCTGAAAACTTTCAGTTTTTAATTGCAGATCCTCTTGCTATTTTTAAAAAATATTTATTTCTTAGTTTTAGGTAGACACAATATCTTTATTTTCTATTTATGTGGTGCTTAGGATCGAACCCAGTGCCTCATGCATGCTAGGTGAGCACTCAACCACTGAGCCACAGCCCCAGCACCTCTGTTGCTATTTTAACCTTTGAGTTTTCTTGTAAAGGCCTTATCTTCCATATTTAAGAAAAATATTTAAGTTAGATACATGCCAAAATTGACATATTTTCATTGAGAAAGTGCTTTTCAGAGCTAATTTCTTTTTTAGTCAACTAAAATTCTTATATATGGTAGTTTGAAGGAATTTTGTTTTTCTTTTTTATGTTTTTGTTCCTTAAATTATTTTTATTCATGAGAAGTTTTTAATGAATAATTGATTTTTTTAGTTGTCAATGGACATTTATTTATTTATTTATAAGTAGTGCTGAGGTTCGAACCCAGTGCCTCAAGCATTCCAGAAAAGCGCGCTACCGCTGAGCCACAGACTCAGCCCAATAAATTGATTTCTTAATCAGTGTAGTTCATGTTAGACTTTTATCATTAAAACTTCTACCATCATAGCTATTCTCTTATGGTATTTTTTTCAAGTTCAGTTTTTGTAGATAAATGTAGGCAGGTCAAAATATTGTTAAGATTCTATTTTGTCTTTAACTACTGTGACAGCTTTTGCTATAGTCAATTTTATGTTTATGTTGTTTGTATTTTTTTTTTTTAACCAAGCCTTGTTTTCTCTGACAAGTTTTAACTTGCAGGTTTTTTTTTTTTTGGTAGTTCTAAAGTGTTAGTAATTTTTCCTCTGGAGCAAGTGTTAGTATGTATAATTTTAGTGGTTATCAGTTTTATTTTGTGTTGCTTACTATATTTTGGTAGTGATACTCATTGTGAGTTAAAAATGGATAATTCACATTTAACTCTCGCTAATCTGTGAAACTTCTGACCAAATTCACTTTAGAATACTGAAGAATTGTTCTGTTGTCCCTGATTGGTCCCTAATGTTTTATTATTATTTTAATATTTGGTTTTATTTGTAGGTGGGCAAAATAACCTTTATTTTTTATGTGGTGCTGTGGATTGGATTCAGTGCCTCATGTGTGCTAGGCAAGCACTCTACCACTGAGCCACAACCCCAGCCCATAATGTATTATTAATAACATTCTTCTAGTGGTAGAGCTCTAGCCTAGCATGTGCAGGGCCCTGGGTTAGATCCTCAGTACCACCTAAAAATAAATAAATAAAACAAAGGTATTATGTCCAACTACAACTAAAAAATAATAATAATAATAAATATTTAAAAAACATTCTTCCATATTCTTTTAAGGATTTGTATACCACATTCACACTGTTGGCAGAAAAAATAGCAAATGATGGGTCAAAATGTTCTTGTTAGTTCTGAAATAGTGCTTATCCCAAATCTTTGCATTGTTAGGTCTGACATTAAATATAGATTATATATTTAATGTTTATTCATTCTGCTAGTCAGAATTCTGAAATACCACTTATTCCACTAAGACAGAGTTAAAATAACTGATTTGAATTTGTTTTATTTAATGATTGATCTTAAAGTCCTAAAGAGCAAAAGTGAAAATCTTGAATGTAACATTTTTTAAGTTGTTGCTGTTTTTTTCTAAATTCCTTTTACTGAATGCTTGACATGCTAAGTTTTCATATGAAAGTGTTTTATGAATACAACCTCTAGGCAAGTTACTTTATGAAATGTAACAGACATTTAAGAAATCATTATAGAATATGGTTCTGGGCTGGGGTTGTGGCTCAGTGGTAAAGTGATTGTCTAGCATGTGTGAGGCACTGGGATCGATTCTCAGCATTGATATATAATTAAAATAAAGCTCCATTGACAACTAAAAAAATATTAGAAAAAAAAGAATATGGCCAGACCACCCACACCAGCTCGTGTGGGACCCAGGCTCTCAGTAGGCCCAGTCCACCCCTCTCCTTGTGGGGCAGACACTCTCCATAGCCTAGGACTGCCCCTTCAATCAGCAGACTACTACAGGAGGTCAAGCCTTTCAGCCCAGATCCACCCGCACCGGCTTGTGCAGGTACCAGATCCAGGATGCAGTAGCATTCATTGATGTACACCAACAGGGTCTGGAAACCCAACATTAAGGTGAGGTTCAGATAATCTGCATGGGTACTACAAGAATATAGGGAACAAACTGTAATATCCCAGATCCACACTACAAGAAAGGAAGACACATAACAAGGGAGGAAAGTGCCCCAAACAAACCAGAATTGAATAATTGAAGAACAGAACCCAGGGACAGTGAAGTTGATGAAATGTCAGACAAGGAATTTAGAAGCTTCATAATTAAAATGACCTGTGAATTAAAGAATGACCTATATGAGCAAATACAGGCAAAAATTGATACTTCAACAGTGAGATAAGAGAGCAAATACAGGTAGAAAAAGATTAATGAGAGAGAGAGAGAGAGAGACACACTTTGAAAAAAAGAAAAAAAAAAAAAAACCAGAAATCCTTGAAATGAAGGATACAATATATCAAATAAAAAACTCAATAGAAGGGCTGGGGTTGTGGCTCAGATGTAGAGCGCTCACCCACCATGCTTGAGGTACCGGGTTCGATCCTTAGCATCCACATAAAAATAAAATAAAGATATTGAGTTCATCAACTAAAAAATAAATATTAAAAAAAAACCTCAATAGAACGTATAACCAATAGACTAGATCACTTGGGAGAAAGAATGTCAGATAATGAAGACAAAGTATACAATCTGGAAAATAAAGTTGATCACACAGTGAAGACAGTTAGAAACCATGAACAGAACATGCAAAAATTATGGGACAGCATCAAAAGACCAAATCTAAGAGTTATTGGAATAGAGGAAGGCATGGAATTTCAAACCAAAGGAATGCATAATCTCTTCAATGAGATAATAACAGAAAATTTCCAAGAATGAAGAACAAATTGGAAAACAAAGTACAAGAGCTTTCAGGACACCAAATGTACAAAATTACAATAGGTCTACACCAAGGCACATTATAATGAAAATGCCTAGCATACAGAATAAGGATAGAATCTTAAAAGCCGCAAGAGAGCGGAATCAGGTCACATATCGGGGGAGACCAATTTGTATTTCAGCAGATTTTTCAACCCAGACCCTCAAAGCCAGGAGATCTTGAAACAACAAATACCAAGCTCTGAAAGAAGATGGATGCCAACCAAGAATCTTACATCCAGCAAAACTAAGCTTTAGATTTGATGATGAAATAAAAACCTTCCATGATAAACAAAAGTTAAAAGAATTTGCAGCTAGAAAGCCTGCACTACAGAACATCCTCAGACAGATATTCCAAGAAGAGGAAATGAAAAACAATGATGAAAATCAGCAGAGGGAGGGATTACACTAAAGGAAAATCTAATCACAGGAGAACAAGTCAGGTTAAATACTAAAAATAAACAAATATGGCTGGGAATACAAATCATGTCTCAATAATAACCCTGAATGTTAATGGCCTAAGCTCACCAATCAGAAGACATAGACTAGCATATTGGATTAGGAAAAAAAAAAAAAAAAGACCCAACAATATGCTGCCTCCAAG